CAAACTTCCTCGATGATGTGGCGCGGGACGTGTGCGCGTCGACGTCGGTCGACTCGATCAGCGACCGGATCGGGCAGACCAAGCACTACATGCAGCGCGGCAGCCGCGCCGGCGCGGAGGGGTTCATGCGGCAGCAGAGCTGAGGGGGAGTGGTGGGGAGCACAGCATCAAGCGGTAGTGGGCGGGGGGTAGTACCACGGATGAGCCAGTGAACGGCGTGTGCTGCTGACCGACATCCCCCGTCGTCGACGTCGTGAGGGATTTCTCACCTCCCAAACCGACAAAAATTGCGACCCTTCAAATACACGTAGCACACTCAAGCAGCCGAGCCGCCCGCGCTCGCGTGTGGTGGTCGCGACACCCGATCCGCACGAAATCGGGCGGCCACAGGCATCACAGCACAGGACCCCCACACGCAGCCGTTCCCAAAAGACCGGCCCACGCGCGCGCGCGCCCCACAACACCGTTGGCTCCTGGCGACCGCATCCGTCGATCCCTCGCTCTTGCCGGGCCACCTCGCGCTGCGGGCCCCGCCGCTGCCTCGCCGCGACGCTCACGCCCCGCACGCCGCCTCGCAGGTGGAGCTGTGCCCTCCGGGATTATGGCCGCTCGAGTCTCGCGCGAGCTGCAAGCCTGGCTCAAGATGCCTCAACCGCCGCCTCGTCCGCGGCTTCGACCCTTCGCCGCCGCCGCCGCCGCGCCGCCGCCGTCCCCGCCGCCTCCGCCGCCGCCGCCGCCCCCACCGCCCTTGCCGCCGCCCCCGCCGCCCTTGCCGCCGCCGCCACCACCACCGTCCTTGCCAACACCTCCGCTGCCGGCGTACCCATCCCCGCCGCCCCTGCCCCCCCCCATCCCACCGCCTTCCTCTCCCCCGCCTGCGCGGCCGCCCCCGCCCGTCCCGCCGCCTGCAGCGCCACCTGCCTCGCCGCCGCCTTCACCGCCGCCGCCCTCCCCCCCGCCCTCGCCGCCCACCCAGCCGCCCTCGTCACCGCCCTCCCCGACGGCGCCGCCGCCGCCTCCTTCCGCGCCGCCGCCGCCGCCGCCGCCTTCTCCTGCGCCGCCGCCGCCGCCGCCGCCTTCTCCCGCGCCGCCGCCGCCGCTGCCGTGCCGTGCCCGGGTGGAGGACTGCTTCGCCGTCACCGACATGGATGTGCGGCTGGGAGGTTCTTCGACATGTCTGGGACGAGGGTGCGCCTGTGCGGCTACTTCCCTGCCTCGGGGACGTGCGATGGCACAAACGAACGTGCGCCGGCTGGCTTCTCTGCGTGCGCATCTCCGCCTCCGCCCACCCCGCCGCCGCCGCCCTCGCATCCGCCCTCGCATCCGCCCTCGCATCCGCCCTCGCCGCCGCCCACCCCGCCGCCGCCTCCACCGCGCCGCCGCCCAGGAAGCTTGCCTTCCATCCCTGGGCCCGAGGGCGAACTACAGTGGTCGGCAGCCTCTGCGACGCTCCGATCGGCTCCTCGACCTCATCGCCTGCGACGAGCCAGCATAGCTCGTCGCTCGACGGCAGCCTGCTCAGTATGCTCTCGGCATTCTGTACAGCCTCGCCAGGCTCTCTGTGACGGCCTGCAGGGCCGGCGCGGACCGCCTTGGGCGCGATGGCCCTCCTCAGTACCTGGGCCCCGCTCCCCGCTTTTCCTGTACCTGGACTGTCCGGGTCAGGAGGGTGAGAGTATTGGGTGGGCGAGGGCAGTACATCTGGCGGGTGGCAATTGAGGGATAGCAGGTGGGTCGATTGGGGGGTCAATGGGCGCGCGGGCGGCGCTTCGTGGTCCTGGGCGAGCAGGGAGAGTGGTTAGGAGTCTTGGGCCCGGAGATATGAGGATTGTCGAGATGTCATGCGAGAGCGGTAGGTGGGCGAAGGTAGCGCGGCTGGAGAGTGGTGTCCGAGGGACAATGATGAGTTGTCAGTCGGGGCGCGAGACGCGCGGGATTCATTTTCATACTATATAGGGTGCTGATTTGTGAGCTGAGCAATGCCTGCAGGGCTTGCGGCGGGGTGGGCGGCTTTTGGTCGAGTGGTCTGGGGTTCGAGCCCGGCCGGGCGAGTAGCGCGGAGCGCTCGCGGCGCAACGCGCGCGTGCGTGTGAGCGTGCAGGGAGCGAGCAGGGAGTGAGCAAGTGAGCGAGGGAGCGAGGGAGCGAGGAAGCGTGGGAGTGGCGCGCGAGCACCGGATTTTTTTGCTGTGCGAGTCGAGTTCGTGGCCGGTGCGCGGGAAACTCGCCGAAAACCCGCGCAGCCGGCCGATTGTACGACCGAGGTCGCTGATTGTACGACCGAGGTCGCAGAGCCTTGGCGACGCGACGTGCGCACGTCGCCAAGGAGAGTTCGTAAAATGTCAGAGTTTTTTGTCGGAGTCATTCGATGGCCAGAGTGCGATTGTGTGTGTGCGGGAGTCGTGGTTTGTCGGGAGGGAGGGGCAGCGGCAGGTTGCTCACCCGCCCACGTGCACCGGGCCAGTGCTTGCACCGTTTGAATGCCGTGGGGGGCTCCTGCCCGTGTCCGGGTGTGGAGATGCGAGGGTCGCCCCCCCTTGCCCCACCACTTTGTGTGTGTGGAGAAATTCACCTTACCTACCTTACAACGTGCGACAGCCAACACGCCAATCCGAATGGCCAGATGTCCGGTCTGCATCATCTAATCCCCCAACCAGAGGTCGATGCCGCACTCCTCGCACACGGCCACCAGCTCAGGCTGCTCCTCGTTCGTGCTGCCCTCGTACACGACGAGCGTCTGCACGCGAGGGGAGGTGCGATGAGCATTCGATTGGGCGGGGGAGGGGCGAGTGGCGAGGGGGGCGTCTCGCGCCTTCAGGCTCGGGGCGGCCCCCTCCTTGAGGGCGGCGGCCAGCGCCTTGCAGCCCTCGTCGCCAATCGTGTTGTAGCTGAGATTGAGCTCCTCGAGCCGCGGCGCTGCCCCGCTCGCGAGGACCTCCGCCAGCTGCGCCGCCTCCGCGTCGCCCCAGCCGAGGTCCTTGTAGTCCAGCTCGGTCGCCTTGCCAAACTGCTCCTGGAAGGCGTCCTCGTACAGCCGCTTCACCAGCGGCTTGTCGTCCTTGCCGTTGGTGAAGCTCTTCGTCTCCAGCTCCGCCGCGAACGCAGACGGCAGCAGCGGAGGGCGCCGGCCGCCCTCCTTTCTGCAGTCGTCGACGAGGCTGCCTAAGTAGTACTCCTTGCCGGCGCGCATCTTGCCGAGGTCGAGGGAGAGGTGGCCGGACTTGGTCAGGCTCGCCCAGCTCTGCTCGGTGAAGCACCAGCCGCGGTCAAAGTACTTGGCCACGTTGGTGCCCTCGGCCTGGTCCTCCGCCTTGTGGCCGTCCGGGAAGGAGGTCAGCCGCAGCACCCAAGTCTTCGGGTGGGAGTAGAGCGTGCCGAGGCAGCCCAGCCCCTGCTTGAAGAGCGCGTTCTGCTCCTCGGTGCGCATGTCGCCGTTGGCGGGGTCGGGGTGCTGGTGCAGCGAGCCGAAGTCCCAAAAGACGCCGAGCCGCGGGATGACGGGTTTGCCGAGCCGCGGGTTGACAGCGAGCAGGGCCTTGAGCGCCCTTGCGACGCGGGCGAGGTTGGCTCCGCGCGGGTCGGGGTGGTCCTTGGTCAGCCACGGGTAGGAGAGCGCGCCGACGGGAAGCCAATCTCCGTACGGGGTCCAGGTGGTCGCCTCGACGAGGTCGGCGAAAGAGAGGAAGGCCTCTTTGGGCAGCGCCTGACGGTGGGTGAGGTCGCCGCCCGCCTCGGCGTGGCTGATGATCCACTGCGCGTCGAGGAGGGCGACGGCGCCGCTCGCGAGGACCGGCTCGAGGTCGCCGCCGCCGAGCTTGCGCCACTTCTCCAGCTTCGTCTCGCTCACGCCGAGATCGGTGGCGGAGGGGAGGGCGGCGGCCGGCTGCGTCGGCGCGGCGGTGTCGGCGGGCGTCGGGGCGACGAGTTCGACGGCGGGAGGGCCGAGCGGCTCCTCGGTCGGGGCCTCGACGCGGCTGGAGAAGCAGCCCATCGTGAGAAGTCGATCGACTTTGCAAGAGATTCTCGCTCCCCATCGAGCTCTTCTTGCCGCAAGGCTCTTCTGTGTGCTTTCACAGAGCTCCGTGCAAGCCTTCCAGCGTGATAGGAACGAGTGTATCGCTTCGACGGATCGACCGTGCTTGTTATAAAGACCGATGTGACGCACACAGTGACACATCAGGCGACACATATTCTCCCACCCCCCGGGACGCAAAACGCTCTCAACGAGAGCCAGAAGAAGGCGTCCGCACAGCAAGCTGCTCGGTCGATCACGTTGCTCGCTTGATGCCGGCGAGCGCATGGCGCACGCCTTGGACGGTGGCGAAGCCAAAAACACCGATGGTGGCCGTCCGCTGGCGTGAGCGGCGGCGGTCGAGACCTCACCCTTCTCGCCGACGACCAACCTCACACGGAACAACCCAACCCGCAACCAACCCAACTTCTCCTGTTAGTGCGCCCGGCTGCTCGTCGAGGCTGGCGTGGCGGTCAACCAAGCCAAGGAGAACGGCGCCACGCCGCTGTTCATCGCGTGCCAGCAGGGTCAGCTCGAGTGCGTGCGGCTGCTGCTCGAGGCCAACGCGAGGGCCGCGGGACCCAGCGGGAGAAGCGCATTCATGGAACGTTTCGTCTGTTTGAGCTATCAGCTATCACTACACACGTCGTCTCAGTCTATCTCACCCATCCCGTCTCACATCGATCCTGTTTTCTCACGCCCGTTTTCTTCTACGTTCTAACTTCTTATAGCGTCTTCGCGCACGGACCTCTGGGGGGGCGCGGGGCCCCCGGAGGCACCGTGCGCCGCGCAGCAGTACGGAAATGGGGCTCCGGCTCCGTTAGTCTCCGTTAGCACCAACTTCCCGATTAAGTACGGTTAAGTAGAGGGCAGATTTGGAGAGAACTCGAGGAGTACATACAGATAGACCCTCCAACCATCAGAAAACTCCGACCTGATTGGTCGTACTGACCGCCGACAGATCACTCCAGACAGCAGACAGGCCGACGTCTGCACACGGCCGGCCGGGCGAGAGGCTTGACACGATCCGACCCTGCGAGACCCTGACGCTGCTGCTCTAGCTATCAGACATGCACTGCTGACTGCTGCCACAATGTGCGACCGGTGCTGGCCCACTTGGCGGCCTTCCCGGTCAGTGGTGAGGCGCAGTTCAGAGCTGTCGATGGCGCGATGCCGCACTGGTCCCACATTGGTAACACGAGACCACCACGTTTGCCGGTCCAAGAGAGAGGCACTGGTGCTGTCCTGAGAAGGTGCGTGGTCCCTCTTGACTGCCCTGCGCGCGAGGCTGTGTAGGCATAGCCTCGAGAGTGCCAGCAGCCAATCCGAGGCGACGCGCATTGCGTCAGAAGCGTGCACACGTTGGAAGGACACCTTCCGACTGGCCGTACGATCAGGTCGTCACTGAATGCTTGATACTAAGGCCGCGAGCTATGCAGGTGATCAATTGTGCAGCATGGCACGGTCAGCAGCGCCGACAGGCTGTCGCAAGGCGTGATAGCATGGCCGCAAGTACGCCGAATTCCCATGAAAAAGTGAAAAATCGCGCAAAAAAACCGAAAAAATCGGCGCCTGCGGCGGGCCATGGGACCCCATCGCCCCCCCGCATGGATACCCTCTAGGGCCCCCGCGCCCCCCCAGAGGCACGGACCCGCGCTGTGTGATTGGGGAGGAGCACTTGGAGCACTTGGAGTGCAGTCATTAACCTCACACCCAGGGCCCGGCCGGGGAGCTAAGAAGCGCACCCAGTGGGCCGGATGATCGCGGTATCGGGCTACGGGCAAGAGAGCCCTGACCCCTACAACTTATGTGGGTGGCCGAAAAAAAAGTCGCGCAAACATAAAGCGCCGCCGAGAGCGAGACGGGCCGGCCGGCTGAAGACCGGCAGCATGCTCCGCGGCCGGCTTCCTTCCGTGCTCCCTGCGCTCGCAGCGCTGCTCGGATCATCGTCTGCCTTCGTCGTCCGGGGAGCCGCGATTTCTTTTCAATGTTTAATGCCGGATTCAGCTGGGTTTGCCTCTAGTCGCTCTCGCCGTCGTCGACTACTCAGCCACTGTGCACTGATCAAAGATGCCGTACGCCGCGCCACAGCCCGCCCGCCGCCGCCCTACCCTCCTTCGAGTGCATGCACTGCTCATGTAGCCCGCCCGCCGCCGACCTGCTGCATCTGAGTGCTACCCTCAGGCACAACGCCGCCTACGGGATCGTCGCCGTCCAGGCGCTCTTCTTCCTCCTCGGAGGCATCCGCGACAACTTCATGGAAGGCAAGACCGTCATGCCAGACGAGGAGTACCTCCAGTCGTGGTGGCACGACACGAAGCTCGGCGACAGCGAGAACCAGTCGCCGCGCATGACGGTGATCTGCAATGGCTGGGGCACCTTCATCGGCACGATCGCCCTCCTCAAGATCGCCGTCGCGCTGACGGGCGGCACGACGACGCTCGCTAAGACGCTCGGCGCCGTCTTCGTCGTTACCAACCTGTGGCTGTGCAAGGTCTTCCTCCCGATGAACGCGCTGATGGAGGAGCACTGGACGAACAAGAAGAACAACCCGGCGATGGTGAACAAGGGCGACGTCACGCCGTTCTGCGCGATGCTCGTCATCGAGTCGGTGTGCTGGCTCGTCTCGCAGGGCGGCCTCGTCGACTTCGGCAAGATCAAGATGGTCTGAGCCCTCTCCTCACGCCTGCGAGCGGCCCGCAGGTGCACCGCGTGGAGAGCGGAGTCCGGAGACGCGTTCACTTTTCTTTCCTTCCTCATTTCTTGCTCAGCCTCATCAGGTTTTGCTCAGGCGACAAAGAAACGAGTAATCATGCGTCTCTCACACACACCGCCCTCCTCTCTCTTCCCCCGCCCCCCTACGCCTACCCCCCGGCACCTCGGACGCCCGCCCCAGACCGTCCCAGTCCCAGCCCTCGAGACCGCCGCCACACACACCGGCGGCGGCATCGGCACGACAGGGAGGGAGGGACGGAGTTGCGCAGGAGGCCAGCCACCCATACATGGAAATCTCTGCGCAACATCGGAAGATCCTTGGACTGTAGATCGTAGATGCCTTTTAGAGATCTCTTAAGTGGCAAATCTCCTGCCAAGAGCTGCAGTAGATTGAAGAACTGGTGGAGGCAAATCTTCTCCGGTGTAGATGCTCGAGAGGAGTCTGAGATCTCGCGTTTGGTGCGTGCAGTCGCTTGAGATCTTGCGACAGAGGTGGAGATTCTGACTTCGCGCCAAAGGCGCCTAGAGATCGTGTGGGCCGACTGGAGATTGCAAAATGGCGCGAAAAGAGGGTGGAGATCCTTTTGCATTGTGAATGAGTCCATAGCGCATCTCCTTGAAGGTTTGAGCCCCCCTCCTCCCCCGGGCCCCCGAATCGACAGTGGAGATTGGAGATTGGAGATGGAGATCGGAGATCTGACTGAATCCGGCCTAAGATGACGACGTTGGAGATTGGAGATTGAAGATGGAGATCGGAGATCTGACTGGATCCGGCCTAAGATATAGCGACGCTGGAGATTGGAGAGTACTGGAGAGATGGAGATCGGAGCCCCCCAGCCCCTAGTGGTGTCTCATCGATTTTTTTGTTTTGTTTTAGATAAAGGTCTGTGCGCGGACGGCCCGGGGAGCCTGCGGCGCCATTTTAATCTGCGCTCCTCTTTATGGCCTGCGGCGCCTGGCTTGAGCTTGGAAGTGTAAACGAGTCCGCCAGGGCGGTCTGCAAACACGAAGCGCGCTGCGCGGCGCGCGCGGTCTACGCCGAACTGGGGGCGGTATCATGGTTCACGCTGCCAACTCGGCAAATAGGCTCGCCGACATAGACCGCGTACATAGACCGCGCGCGCAGCGCGCTCCGTTTGCAGACCGCCCTGGCGGACTCGTTTACACTTCCAAGCTCAAGCCAGGCGCCGCAGGCCATAAAGAGGAGCGCAGATTAAAATGGCGCCGCAGGCTCCCCGGGCCGTCCGCGCACAGACCACAGGAAAAAACAAAAATCTATAAAACATCTATCAACACCACTAGGCTCTAGGGGGTGGGTGGGCTCCGATCTCCCCATCTCCAATATTCTCTAATCCACAGCGTCGTCATCTTAGGCCGGGGATCCAGTCAGATCTCCGATCTCCATCTTCAATCTCCAATCTCCAACGTCGTCATCTTAGGCCGGATCAGATCTCCGATCTCAATCTCCAATCTCCAATCTCCAATCTCGATTCGGGGGCCCGGGGGAGGAGGGGGCTCAAACCTTCAAGGAGATGCAATTTGGATTCATTCACACTGACCATCTCTCATCTCCAATCTCCAATCTTCTACTTGGCCACTGTCGCCGCCGGCAGCAATCTACGACCTCCATTTTCAATCTTCGATCTCACATCTGGGGCGGATGGCTGGGCGCTAGGATCTACAATCTGCATTCTCCATCTCCTATCTCCACATTTTGGCCCTGTTGCTGCTCAGAGCGATCTGCAATCCACAATCTCAATCTTCGATCTTTAGTCTTGAATGGGGAACCGGACAGGACGGATCTACTGGCGAGACTTGGGCGTGTCCGTGTGAGAGATCCGCTAGGATCTCCAGTCTCAATCTACTATCTCTACCCCAACGATCTACTGGTCTTGCGCAGAGATTTCCATTACTCCAGCCACCACCGGGCTGAGAGAGAGGCATGCTCCGCGAGCGATGGGCGCCAAGCGGGAGGGAGCGGACGGGGTGGGGCGTACAGATGGGGGATGGCGAGGGCGGAGGGGCGGGAAGGGGGGAAGGCGGCGGGAGGACGGAGGTCGGCATGGGCGGGCGGTGGGTGGTTCGGTAGGGCGGGGGGGGGAGGGCGAGGGGTGGAGGAGAAGGGCGGTGGGGGCGAGGGGCGGCGAAGGAGAGGGTGGCGGCAAAGGGGTGGGCGAGGTGGAGGGCGGGGGCGGCATGGGAGAGGTGGGGAGGGTGGCGGAGGCGTGGGCGAGGTGGAGGGCGGCGGCGGCGTGAGCGGCGGCGGCGGCGGTGGGGGGGAGGTGGAGGGTGGCGGTGGCGTGGGCGAGGTGGAGGGCGGCGGCGGCATGAGCGGCGGCGGCGGCGGTGTGGTGGAGGTGGAGGGCGGCGGCGGTACGAGTAATCGTCAGGAGGAAACGGATTGAGCCGCCGAGTCGATTTTTTTTTGCAGCTCAAAAAAACTCCATTGCCGACTTGCGGGCGGGACGCGTCCTTCTCTCGCAAGTCGGCAATGATGGGTGCAGCGATGGGTGCAGCACCGGGTGCAGCGATGGACGCGCAGCGCAACGAGCGCGTCTTCCGCAACGTCCGCCGCCTTCTACCGTCCTCGATTACGGATGCTGAGATCCGTACGGTGCTGGCTGCCTACCGACACTACCCGAAACCCGGCGGGCTAGCGCACACATACCTCGAGAGGAAGTATGGCCTCGCGCCTGGCCCAGTGCCAGCGCTCGGCGCGCCTCCCGTGCCCGCTCCCGTGCCCGCTCCCTTCGGGTTCCGGCCAGGCCGCCTCCTTCGAGGCTGCGGCCTCGGCCCAGCCGAGCGCTCCTACCATGCGCCTGCGGCTGATCTGCTCTCGGCCGCACGCGACGACCCCTTGGAGCCCGTCCTCGCCTCCCTGCTCGAGGAGTCGTTCTCCGCGAGGCTGGCCTCATCTACGGGCGTCAACGACGAGGAGCGGCAGACGAACGGCGTTGCGGTTAGCGTCAACCCCCTCTACGCTGCTGGCTCCTCGCTGCACGCCGCCTTCGTCGCTGCATGCCGGCGCAACCTGTCGCTCGAGGTGGAGGTCGTGTTCCACGGCACCGCTGACCGCAACGTGGACGCAATCTCCGAGAATGGCCTCGATCCCGCACGGCGCGGCCAGCACGGGCAGTCGCTCGGTCCCGGCGAGTACTTTGCGCGCGACCCGCTCATCTCCCTCTCCTACTGCCAGTGGGGCGGCGGGTTCCGGCCGGGAGCAGGACCGACACGCATGCTCATCTTCGCCGTGCTCATCGACCCGCGCAACGACGGCGTGCCCGCATTCGCGCGCGAGGACTTTGGCGGCTCCTCGCCCATCGTCGTCGTCCCGGAGGCAGACCACCAGCTCCCGATCGGCGTGCTCACCCTCAGGCCGGGCGAGGAGGCGATGGGCCAGGCCACGAGCGTCGTGAACGCCTTGATGCGGAAGGCCAAGGCCGCGAGCGACGCCGCGGCGGTGGCGGAGAAGCAGGCGAGCGCGGCAGAGAGCTTCGCGCGCGTCTGCCAGCTCCTCATCCGCGAGGATCTTGACGCAGCTGCAGCGGCGTACCAGGCGGCAATCGCCTCAGACGCAGCCGTCACCTCGAGCTGGGCGCACGCTCTCTCTTTCTACCTGCGCAAGTACCGCCTCGAGCCCAGCCTCGTCCAGGCCATGTTCCCGGGCGTCGAGGGCGTCGAGGTTGACGCTGGCGGCAGCAGCAGCGGGGGCTTGGGCAGCTTGGGCTCAGCCAGCCGCACCGTCTCGAAGCGCCCCTTCGACGGCACCGTCGAGGAGCTCAAGGCGAGCGCCACCGCCAAGCGGGCCGAGGCGGACGCGGCCCACTCCCGCTGGCGCGCCGCTTCGAGCCGCGCGGCCAGCAGCGCCGGCTCCAACCCGGCGCGGGCAGTGCCGGGTCGGAACGCGCGGCCTGCGGCCGTTGCGTCGACGGCGGCGGCCACGCGGCGCGTCACCAAGGAGCTGCGGCAGCTGGCGCGCGCGGAGCACGGCTGGACCGTCGAGCTTCCGGACGAGGCGAACTGCTACGTGTGGCGCGTGGCGATGCAGCCCGAGCCGGGCACGAACCTCGCGCGCGAGCTCGTCGACCACGCCCGCCGGACCGGCGAGTCGGAGGCGGTCCAGCTTGAGGTCGCCTTCTCGGGCGACTACCCTGCCGCGCCGCCGTTTGTGCGCGTCGTCTCGCCTCGCTTCGAGTTCCACACCGGCCACGTGACGGTCGGCGGCTCCGTCTGCCTCGAGACGCTCACCACTTCGGGCTGGAACTCCGAGCTCTCGATGGAGGGCGTTCTCCTCCTCGTGCGCTCGGCCTTTGCCGACGGTGGCGGCCGGCTCGACCCGGTGCGGGCGCACGTCCCTTACGCCGAGCGCGAGGCGCGGGCGGCCTTCGAGCGCGTGGCGCGCGCGCACGGCTGGGGCGCATGAGCACAGAGCTCGAGAGCGTAGTAGAGGCGAGAAGGGCCGATGCGCCCCCGGCCGGCCCCGCCATTGCCGCCACTTGCCACTTTGCGGTGGTAACTGGAAGTAAGTATTGGGCGAGTGCGCCGACATCGGTCACCGCAGTGCAGAGGCGAGAGGGCGCCGTCTGTTCAAATGTGGCGCCGCCTGTCCCAGGGTTACGTTATTACGTATCGCGCGCCTACGAGCTCGGTCGGCCGTTATTTTTTGGCACGTACTTGCGGAGTTGCTCGGTTGGACGCTCTTAGTTGTAAAATTCCAACCAAATTCCCTTTTTACCGGCAACCAGGCCGAGGAATCGGCATCGGGGTTTCGCGCGGCCAACTTTTCACGCGAACACCGAACAACAATGGACGCGATTGAAGAGGACGCGGCAGCAGCCGAAGCGACCGCAGCTGCGAGTCGGGAGCGCGACCTCCGGCGCCTGGCGCGGGCGGGCGCCCTCGGCGAGATCCAGGAGCTGATAGGTGAGGATGCACTCCGCATTGCGTCGCACCATCTGCGCACAATGTTGCGCCGCTCACATCCGCGACCTGAGTTTGTCGGCTTGTCGTGCGCGCCGCGCAGGACAGCGAGTCAATGTCGATGCGGCTGACTCGAAAGGCACCACCGCCCTCATGAATTGCGCCGAGGCCGAGGGGCAGAGCGGCGTCGCTGTCGCAGAGGCTCCTCGGCTGACCTGCGAGGGAGCTGGGCAGGACAATCCTCGCCACGTGATACTCGACGCTGTAGGTGCTGCTGGGTGCCGGCGCCGACCTCTCAATCCAGAGCGAGATGGGGCAGACGGCGCTCATGTGGGCCGCACGGTGCGCAGTAGATGGCCTCGCCGGCGTTGCGTGTCGAAGCCAGGCCCTTCAGCAACAGGGCTGTCAGCAGCACTGGCAGTTGGTGCAAGCTCTCGCCGCGGCCTCGCAGGCACGGCAAGGCTTCGCTCGTCGAGACGTTGCTGGTGGCCCATGCCGACCCGCATGTCTATTGCCACAAGGGCCGTCATGTGGGACGCGCCGACGTTGCTCCGCCGCACGCCCTCACAGTTTTCTGTGCTGCACCTCCGCAGGCTTCCGCGCCATCGACTATGCGCGCTTCCTTGGGCACGCAGCGGTGACTCGTGCCTACCGGAGAGAAGAGCGAGCGCGTGCACACGACTACCGACTTTGCGAGAGACCCACACGATAAATCGCTCGGCAACAGACTGCATTGCCTGGACGCAGGTGCTCGAGGCGTTCAACGAGCCCGACTGGGTCGGCTGGCTGCCCCCGCCTCTGCGCGCTACGGCCGTCCACGCCGTCCGGATGGTGCCGGTGCGAGCCCAGATTGCGGTGGGACAAGTGGCCCCAAAGGTGACGCTACCCCGAGATGGCGGGTGGAGTCCCGCCGCTCCCGCCTCGGTACCCCCACTGCCAGCCCATGCACAGGTTGGCAGTCGGATCTGGGGCAACCCGATGCTCTTGTCCGCGCTCGTTGTCGCCGCCCTCCGCCTCGGCCTGCATTGGGCCTTTGGCTTGCTCAGCGAGAGAGCGACGGCCAGCTGAGGGGAGTTCTGCTCCTCGTGGAGATCTTGGACTAGATCTGTGCGCGAGGAGGAACGTTGGTCGTTGCGCGCGTGCAAGATTGCTTTTTGTGCGCGTGTTTTTTGCTCTTACGTCCTTTCAATTTCCTTTGGTTCAGAGAAGTATGAACTCCGTTTAAAGTAACACATTGTGGCCAGGGTAGCCGAGATACCCATTACCCTTCATCGTGAGAGAGAACGTTTGTAGACATCGCGCAATAGGAGGTAGCGCGCCACAAAAAGGAAGGGTTGGCATGCATGAAGGCGAAGAGAGAGGTGGGACAAACATAGGACGCAAAGCAGAGAGGTCACATGTCGGTGCGCGAGCGCTAGGTGGGCTTGCCCGCCGCCTTGGCCGCCTCCTCGTCGTCGGCCACGTGTTGCCTCGAGTCGACGTGCGCGTTACAGGCTCGTTACAGGCTCGCCTCACGCCGTCGTCGACGACGAGGCAGCGGCGCCCGCCGTCTCGTATTGGAGCGCGGCCCTGCCCTGGGCCTTGAAGCGGGCCAGCACGTCGGGGGCCACCCACTCGACCGTCCCGTCGTCGGCGACGGCGAGCGTGAGGCCGCAATGCAAGAGTTGTGGGTCCGTCTTTTCCACCAGCGCCTTGAGCGCGCGGAAGTCGGCCGCCGTCGCCGGCCGCGCCTCCGCGAGCGCCGCCCCGGAGCTCCCGGTTGCCGATGGCGCCGCGTCCACGATCGCGTCGATGTAGTCGCGGATGGCCGCCGCCTCGAAAGCCTGTACCTGCTCGAGTGCGCTGACCACCGTGTCGCCCAGCTCGAGCGGCAGCCCGATGACGCGGCCGGCGGTGGTCGAGGCGGCGGCGAGCGCAACCAGCGTGCCGCGCACCCACCAGCCGTGCGTCTTCCACCAGCTCTTGGGCAGCCTCACCAAGTAGCCTTGGCCGCCGTTGGTCGGCGCGAGCTTCAGCGTCACCGGGCACACAAAGAACAAGCGGTACGCATCGGTGATCCATCGCGAGGGGCGCAGCTTGCGCCCCACGCGCCGCGCCAAACCACCGCCCGCCGCCTTCTCGGGCTGTAGCCACGGGATGCGAGGGCAGCTGTGCTCTCCTATGGCCATCTGCTCGACGATTGCCCGCACGCCGTCGATTTTCATCTCGAGACTCGCCGAGGTGGCAATCACGGAGGCAGGCGACGCCGCGCCCGGAGCCGAGCGCTTCAGCGATTTGTTCAAGTCTAAGGAGACGTTCGGGTTAGCCTGGCTCCGGACGAGCACGCGGCACTGGAGCGCAGACTCTGAGAAGTCGGCGGGCACTGCCACGTCAAAGGCCGAGTGGCACAGCGTCTGGTCCGTCCACTTCACGAGACGATATGCCGGCTCGACCTCGCACCCTTCGACGGTGACGTCGACCCGGAAGGCCACCTCGGTGGCGGCGACGGCAGCAAAGTCGACCGCCAGCTGCTTCGACTCCTCAAAAGCCAGCTCTTGCTTCAGCAGATCTGTCAGCTCCGCCGTAGCCGCGAGCAGCCACACCTTGAGCTCGAAACTCTCCTCGCCGAACGGCACCGTCGGCGGCCCTGTCAGCGAGCACTTGAGCTGGACCTTCTCCGGTGTGCGGCCCTCGCTCTCGCCGCTGCGGGTCCCACCCCGATAAGAAGAGCCGTGCTCGTCATTCGCAGTGAGCATGCTGTGCGGCGTCGTCTTGTTCCCATGAACCTCCTTCACACGCTGCAGCCGCACCTCCTCGAGGCGCATGAGGAGCTTGCGAAGGTCCTCTTGCCAATCGGAGCGCTGGTAGACGGCCCTGTCTGGCGTGCTGGCGGGCAGCTGAGCGGGATCTGCATGCGCTGCCTGGGCGCTTCCATAGGCGGGCCATGCCGGATACGGCTGTGCTGCATCCTCATAGCTCCAACCCTTGATCAGTGGAGCGTACGACTGGAGGAGCCGTTCTACTTTGAACGACCCCGGAACATGCTGCTCCTGCTGCTGAAGGAGGGGGTGGTCGACCCCGAGCAACAATTCGATTGTCAGGCTGGTGAAGCCGTTCTCGAGAGGACGAAAGGAGTGTTTGACGACGTGACGCGGCTTGTACCCAAAGACTCGCATGCACTGCTGCAGAACCTCCTTGAGCTCCTTCTCGCTGCCGTCGATCTTTGTGCGCACCTCGACCAACGCGAAGAGCGTCCATTGGTGCCCGAGGCATCCCTTCGGCCAAGTGAGGTTGTGACCGCCGATGAGGTTGAGGTGGTTGGTCTCGCGCAAGTCGATGCTGCGCTGCGTGTACTCACACAGCTTGACGTGAGCCCCCTTGGGGTACGACAGCCTCGCGTTGACATGGGTGACGCGAGAGAAGTCCGGTTTGTCCCGAGTGCCGGCGTAATGAATGTGGAAGACGAAGAGGGCCTTTTGGTCGTCATCGTAGAACTGGATCCAAAACTCACGCGACGGACCTGCGGCGCAGTGAAAGTACTGCGCGAAGACCACCCGTTCCGCGGGCACGCCGCTGGGCCACTTCTGGATCAGCTGGTGCCAGAGCAGCGGCGTGAACGGCGTGTGAGCAGGCGGGATGGGGCCGCCCGCGGGCAGTGGTTTTTGCGGCTTGCCGTGCCACTTCGCCGAAGCCGCCTTCTTTCCCCGGTCGAGGTCGAAGCGCCCCACGTCGAGCCACTCCTCGGTCGAGGAGGAAGAGAGTGACCATGGCAGGTCGACCGTGACGGAGGCGGACGCGGACGCGGAGGCGGAGGCGGAGGTGGAGGCGGAGGCGGCAGCCGCTTCGACGATGCCGCCGCTAGCCCCTCCGTCCACGCCGCCGCTGCCGCCGCTGCCACCACCACCGCCCTCCAGCGTGAGGATGCTCACCCCGCTCGTTGCAGCCGCGACGCCGTCGCCGTCGCCCGCCATCCCGTACACGACGAACGCCCCCCACTCCCGCACCGACCACCGGCCCTCCTCGATCATCCCGACCATCGCCTCGCGCAGCGCCGCCGCCACGTCGCCGCCCGCCACCCACGCCGTGTAGAAGCGCCGCATCAGCTCGCGCGTCGCGTCGTCGCTCACCTTCCACAGCGACGACACGAGCGTGAGCGCGCCCGCCGCGACAAAGGCGCGAGTGATCCCAACGACGCCGTCCGTGCTCAGCTCCGACCCGCCCTCGCCCTTGGGGGCCTTGAACGAGTCGCACGCGCTGAGCACGACGAGGCGCGCACGCAGGTCGAGGCCCTGCACCTCCGCCATGCTCAGCGTCGCCTCCACTTCGCTCTCGCCGGCGAAGTAGAGGCCGTCGGGCGCGCCGTGCGTCGCCAAGTGGATCACGTCGCTCGTGGGCAGCAGCTGCATCATCGCCTCCTTTGTCGCCTCGTCGTCGAGCCGCAGCTTTGCCTTGAACGTGTTCAGCAGCCCCTGCACCACCGACGTCTCCGCCCGCGCGCCAGGAAGCTGAGAAAGATGGCCGCCGCCCTTAGTGGTCCATCCGCTAAAGTCCGGGTCGCCGACGACGAGCGCCGGCGGCCTCGGCGGTGGGGCGCCGCGATCGGCCGCGCGCTGCTCGAGCTCGATCAGCGTGCCCGCCGACGGCGCGATGCGGAGCGAGTGGCGCTCGATCAGGTGCTTGCCGTCCGAGTCGAGCAGCGCGGCAAACGGCAGCGCGAACAAGTCGCGGTCGGGGATGATGAGCAGCGGCTCGCCGGCCGAGAGGCCGAGCGGAGCGATGAGCAGCTTGTAGCAGCGGGCGAGCGCGGCGCGGATGTAGCTCTCGTCCGGCGCGGCGGTTCGACCGTCGCCACGCTCCGCCTCTATCGCCTTTTGGTCGACCGACGGCTCGCGCAGCGCGCCCGGCGTCGACGAGACGGCGGCAGAGCGCGCCGAGCTGCCATGCCGCGCGCGCACGCCGATGGTCTGGCGCGTCTGCTCGACCAGCTGCGTCAGCGGCGACGCTCCACCCTGCGCTGGGACTGCGAGCTCGTGAAAGGCGACCGGCGCGTCGCCGCGCACCACCCACGCGAGCAGCGCCGTGTCCTGCACCTGCGAGAAGATGACCAGCGCGACGCGCTGGCGGCCGGCGAGACCGCGCAGCGCAGCGACGTCCACCGCCGCGGGCAGCGTCGGCGGCGGCGCGGCGGCGGCGTCCGCACCCCGCTGCACGCGCTGCTGCGCGAGGAGGAGCTCGAAGGCGCGCGAGCGGGCGCGCTCGGCAACCTCGAGCGCCGCCTCGGGCTGAGCGAGGCGGGCGTGCACGCGCTGCAGCAGGCGGGGAGTCAGCGTGAAGCCGATTGTGTCGCCAAAGGTGATGCGGTCGTGGTCGGTCCGAAGGCCAGCCCAGAGAGCGTCAAAGACGGCGGTGGCGGCGGCGAGGCGCTCGAGAGCCTTCTCGTACTGCCCGAGGCTGAGGTAGGCGGTGCCGAGGTTGGTCAGCGCGCTGCCCTCGACCCGCCTGTCGCCAATCTCGCGGTTGATATCGAGCGCCATCGTGTGGTGCTCGATCGCCTTCTTGTACTGCCCGAGGCTGTGGTAGGCGTTGCCGAGGCCGCCCAGAGTGCCGCCCTCGCCCTGTCTGTGGCCAATCTTGCGGCAGATATCGAGCGCCATCGTGTGGTGCTCGATCGCCTTCTCGTACTGCCCGAGGCGGAAGTAGGCGATGCCGAGGCCGCCCAGACCGTTGCCCTCGCCCTGCCGGTCGCCAATCTCGCGGCTGATCTTGAGCGCCATCGTGTAGTGCTCGATCGCCTTCTCGTACTGCCCGAGGCTGAGGTAGGCGCCGCCGAGGTTGCCCAGAGCGTTGCCCTCGACCTGCTTGTCGCCAATCTCGCGGCTGATCGCGAGCGCCATCGTGTGGTGCTCGATCGCCTTCTCGTACTGCCCGAGGCGGAAGTAGGCGATGCCGAGGTTGCCCAGATCGCTGCCCTCGCCCTGCTTGTCGCCAATCTCGCGGCTGATCGCGAGCGCCATCGTGTGGTGCTCGATCGCCTTCTTGTACTGCCCGAGGCTGTCGTAGGCGTTGCCGAGGCCGCCCAGAGTGCCGCCCTCGCCCTGCCGGTCGCCAATCTTGCGGCTGATCGCGAGCGCCATCGTGTGGTGCTCGATCGCCTTCTTGTACTGCCCGAGGCTGTCGTAGGCGCTGCCGAGGTTGCCCAGATGGTTGCCCTCGCCCTCGCGGTCGCCAATCTTGCGGCAGATCGCGAGCGCCATCGTGTGGTGCTCGATCGCCTTCTTGTACTGCCCGAGGCTGTCGTAGGCGTTGCCGAGGTTGCCCAGATGGTTGCCCTCGCCCTCGCGGTCGCCAATCTCGCGGCTGATCGCGAGCGCCATCGTGTGGTGCTCGATCGCCTTCTTGTACTGCCCGAGGCGGCGGTAGGCGTCGCCGAGATTGCCCACCGCCGCGCCCTCGACAGCCATCGCCCGCTTCCGGTCCCTCATCGCCTGGCCAAAGGCCCGGCACTCCTCGTACTTTTGGAGCGCACCCCGCGCGTCGCCGCGCTGCAGCCGCTCATTTCCCTCGCCCACCAGCGCCTGCGCACCCTCAAGCAGCTCGTCGTCGCTCCAACCCACATTGCTGTCGTGCGCACGCCGGAGAGCACAGGCGGCGTCAAGAACGGCGGCAACCTGCGCGGCGCGCGCCGAGGCGTCCGCGCCCTTGCTCTCCATCGCGGCGCCGCCCTCGACGGGTTCGAAGCCCGCAGCCTCGAGCACCGCCATGGCGTGCCTCGCCGCCACCGCCTCCTTGACCTTTACGTTTTGCAGATTGACGCGGCGGAACTTGGGCGTGTCTTCGCGGGCGAGGTTGCCGAGCAGCGTCGACAGGATCCGCGCCGACTCGGCGAGCGCCTCGCGCTTGTTCTCCTTCGCGTAGCGAGCGCAGATCGCGGACGCTAGTTCCTCTCCTCCTCCTCCGCCTCTGCCGCTTTTTTCTCCTCCCCCCCCTCCTCCACAGCTCCCCATCTTGGTGAGCATGAAATTTTTGATGCTGCCCAACAGAACTGGCAAGTCATCCATCCCGACCCCATTTCGCATGGCAAACTCCAACGCCACCTTGTTGACGTCGAGGTCGCTGACGTTCCAGTAGATCTGCGCGCGGCCGCCATCCATCTCGACGGGAAAGACAAAATCGTACCGCACACCGTTGACCACGCCTCCGCCTCCGCCGCCTGCTGCTGGCGGAGGGGCCGGCGAGGCGAAAGACTGCGCTGCGACAAGGACAGCCTACGCGTTTTTTTCATTTCAGGGTCGCGCACTCTCTTGGCGGCGGCCGCCTCAGCCGCCCGCCTGCTCCGGCTCGAGCCCCTTGCCGGCCGCGTCGGCGGCAGTGATGGCCGCCGCCTCGGCGGCCTCGGGCGGCGGCGCGGCGTCCGCCGCCGCGGACGCCGACGCATGCGTCTTGGCCGCCTCCTCCGGCTCGAGGCCCTTGCCGGCCGCGTCGGCGGCAGTGGTGGCCGCCGCCTCGGCGGCCTCGGGAGGCATGGCGTCCTCGAGCGCCTCCGCCGCCGCAGCGGACGCCGCCTTGGGCGTCTTGGACGCCTGCTCCGGCTCGGGTCCCTTGCCGGCCGCGTCGGCGGCAGCCTTGGCCGCCGCCCCGGCGGCTTCGGGCGGCGCGGCGTTATCGAGCCCTTTCGCCGCCGCAGCGGCCGCCGCCGCAGACGCCTCAGCCGCCTCCTCCGGCTCGAGGCCCTTGCCGGCAATCTTGGCCGCCGCCCCGGCGGCCTCGGGCGCTTTCGCCGCCGCAGTGGACGCCGCCTTGGGCGCCTTGGCCGCGGGCTCGGCTGCCGCTGCCGCCGCGCCAGGCCCGGGCGCGGGCGCCTTCGACGATGCCGCCCCGCCCTCCGGGCTCGTCGCCGCCGTGCCCAGCCTGGAAGGAGCTTTGGTCGCTGCCGCGGCGAGCTTGGCGAGGCGCGCCGCGCGCAGGCTCGAAATGTCGGCAGGCGCGGGGCGTCCGCCGTTTCGGTCTTGGATTTTCCACCACAGATAAGCGACGACGACCGCGAACAACGCCACAACAAAGGCAACGCCGACGTCTTCCCTGACCTCGACAAACATGGACCTGAACGGCGCCTGACAAACCTGACCGTCGAGAAAAAATAATTTTCTTTTTTCATCTCTTTGTGTGCTCCTTCCTCGTGCACGCTGGGTGGCACGGCTCCGGTCGTGAGGGTTCGGGGAGGGGGTGGGGGCGGCGACCGCACGTGTCGAGAGTGCTGTACACGGCGATACTCGAGTGCACGCCGCCTGATAATAAAGGACCGTGAAGACCGATAAAGCCGAGGGGTGCTGAGAGGTCAGTGTCGAGCTTGTGCGTACGTTGAAACATCGAGCGGCGCAAAGCCGTACGCTGAGAGCCGTAAATGCCGAGGCAGCGGAACCCGAGACCTCGAGAGAGAGATACGGTCTGAGCGCAACGGACAGCGAGGACCTAGCGGGGGGCGGGGATCGACCCCCCTCTGGCGCTGGTGAGAACAACGACCACCCGGCCAGCCGGGCTCGGCACGCTGCGGACCGAGGCGACGACCGGGACCCCGACACAGACGAGGGGGGGGGTGGAGGCGGGGGGGCGAGCTGTCGGGACAGGGGGCTAGCTCAGAGCCCCAAGACCCGGAGGCCGGGGATCACGAAGGGGAGGCGAGCTCGCAGGATTTCCTGATCGAAGAGCCTGACTCGCAGGAGAGCTTCTCGAGCATGGACGTGGACGGGGTGGAGGAGGCAAGCTCGCAGGACACCCTGTCTGGGCAGCCCGACTCGCAAGGCAGCTTCTCGAGTATGGACCTGGACGAGGAGGGCGAGGCGGAGAGCGGCCCTGCGCCTGACGAGGCGGGCGAGACGAAGGAGGGCGACGGACAAAGTCGCGGCGCAGGGGGTCCGGAAAGCGGCGGGGCTGGAGGGGGCGGCCCCTCCCCGAACCTCGCCCTCGGGCGTGTTAGAGTCGTCGGCCAGGGAGGCAGGACTCCCGCAGGGCACCTTCGGGTGGATCTCAGTAGAGCCGGCAGGCACCCCGAGCTCGCGACGCCCTTCACGACTGGAAGGGCCAGGGAGCGCACGTGCTTTGATCGCAGGGGGCACCATGGAGGGTGCACCTGCGCCACGGAGGCACTCCGGGCGGCGTATGCAATGTGGGGGGAGGGCCGGGGAGATGCTGCCTCGGCGCGCGCTGCCGCGACGCGGCACGGAGTCGACCGGGCCACGCCGGCGAGGGAGATGCGCTCCAGCGAGGGTCGGGTCCTTGAAACCGCCGACGCGTTCCTGGACGACAAGGCCGATCGACTCTGGAGGACGCGGTCGGCAGCACTTCGCGAACTGGCACAGAAGGTTCGAGACGGCACGGATCTTGTGCTCCTATGCGCGGGTAGGATTGAGTCCTGTCACGGCGATCTGCTGAGGAAGGGGATCCTAGCCGAAGCGGCGCAACAATATGTATGAGTAGTATGCTGGGGA